ATCAGCTTTGACAAAAGCATTTTTTGTCACAGTAAGAAATCCATCTTTTAATGTTTGTCTGTTGAAGTGTTACTTGAACTTGCGTACATGTTCTGATACCAGTTTCATGTACGCATGGTACATGCATTTACATGTACATGTACACGAATGATGTGCGATAGGTCAAGGAAACTGAGACGTCACTGTGCATTGTACATTGAGGTCCATGGTGAAATAGGTACACTGTACATGTACAATATAGTGTGCTTGTAAAACTATTGATTGTTTGCCTCCTTTCCCCTCTCCCTTCCCCCCACCCTTCCCCTAGCAGTGCACATCTGAATTTCCTACTGTAAAAAGGTGCCATATTTTACTTGAGTAAACTAGTTACGACAGCGACTGGTTTTTCTCTGTACCGGTACTCTTGCCTGAAGAGCTCTTTGTGTCTGTGGCTATTGTGTTTTATTTTCTTGGTATCCAATTTGTGTACCTGCAACTCTGAACGGTGTTTGCACCCAGCTGGGGAATGTTCAGTTCACTTCAAACACTAAATTGGGCTTTACCACATTATTGCTACGTGTGCATTGTTAGCCAGGTGTGTGAAGTCATCGGTGTGTGCAGAAATGGCACTCGGTGTGTGGTTCCGTGGAAAATGAAAAAAGAGACTACTTCTGCAAAACTCTGCCTTCTCAGCCGATCATACATATATGTGTACATAACATTTATGGCTACATGTACATGCATTGCCACTCAGCCTATCCTTCATACAAACAAGCAATCATTAATCTTTAGAGGGGGAAAAATGTGTCAGCTGAGAAACCTGTGAAAGCCATGCCTTGGCAACGTGAGGAAATACTTTATACCTACATGTATGGGTCATTCCTCGCCAATTCAAACACCCTCCCCTGTGACTTGAGTCACCTGTTTCAGAATTGCTGGGAAAATGATTTCTAAAAATACCTCAACATAGCCCGGTACCAAATAAGGAACCAAATATGGTTTTCTTGTTATAGAGTACTGAAGTGACTACATGTATGTCACATGCACAATTGCATTGTACTCGTATACCGGTACATGTGTGAAAAAAGCATCACCCCGTACTCCTTTCATTTGCACTGCACTTCCTGGTTCAAAATGACGTCCCACTTCAGTACTATATAACCCCCAGAAAGTGTGGGTGCAACGTTTGTTGCAAAAAAGTTGGTTCAGTACTTCTGAAATTTTGTTTGAGAGAAGAACTCAACCTTCATTTTTTTCCTTGAAGTTTGCCATCTTTTCATGGTAAACATATTCCATAGTTACAATGATACCTTTTCTCCAAATTTAATGAAGTTTGATATATTTCAGTTGGAGGATGGCTCCCCAACTGACATTTCTGAAACCCCCTTTCTGCATGCCAACAGCGACAACGGAGTGCAAAAGGACAATGCATGGAAAGTAGTCTGGTCACTGTGATTGTTCACCATTGAGTGTGCGCACTGTGCAGAAGGAGACAGCTACCAGACCCTGTGTACGGCGTATGTGTGGAAGAACTTTTTTTCATCGCTCACAGGTTTATTCTTTTTTCCCAGCGTTTTCAGAAACATATCGCCAAAAAGACAACATCGAGGACTGTGACAAGATTAAATAGACCAGTATGCCTGGCTGGTTTTTTGAACTGGCAGTAAATAAGCAGTAAATATTTTATAGAATAAGTTGTTGAGTTTTGAGCAGATATGGTACATGTACAGTGGCACTCTGCAGTCTACAACTACCGGTATTTTGTGATAAATACTTCAGTATTAAAGCATTTATCATTAAGGGATAAAAAGACATCAAGGAAGGAGACGACATTTAACATACTGAAAACTGATGCGCAAACCAAACACTAATATTTGATGTTTATATATTTGGTTTTTGCGGGTTTATTTTAAGTAGGCATAGTGCTTATTTTATTTGAATCAGACTTCCAATGACTTATATGTCACGGCCTCAATCATGCTCATTTGTAGGCAGTATTAGGGAATTACAAACTTTTGATTAGTTTTTTACCTTGTTTTGAAGACTGGGTATAACATGGTATTATTCTCAGGTTATAAATATTGCAACACTTGATTGCAAGGCTTAATTATGAATTTACTTCATTTTAAATTCAAATGGGCAATCACATTCTATGTACTGGTAGTGTACAATGTATTAACCCTAACCCTTCTCAGTCCTCCAACAGGTGAAGGATTGAGGAGGGTTAGGGTTAATGAATCAATTTTCGTATAATATTACACAGGAAATCAAATTTTCCACTAAGTTTAAAACTTGTCGAGAAACTTAATTTTTAGCATCGCACACATTTTTCCAAATGGAGAAATTACTGTCCATGTGTTAATTAATTTTAATTAGTTAGATCTGTTCGACTTATAATTAGCCATGCAACAGCATCGTGTCAAACAAGAGCCGTAGATCAGTGACATAAATGCTGGAAAGTTCACCAGAAATTTTGCAAAGCAAATTGGACAAGTGAGCAATATACTAGGTTTGTGTGGTACTCCCAAGTGGAACTGCAGTTAGAAAAAAATTGCAATCGGCGGCTCTGCATTTGTGAAAAACTGGGTACCCACCATTGGCAGTTCCACATTCAAAAAGCCAACTCAAATAACAAATCTGAGTCCCAGTCACCGCTCAGCACCCGTGAGTGACAACTCCGAACATCGAGTCCGAGTCACCGCCTCTGCCGCGTGTATAGCGTGCTGTACGTTTTGCAGGGCACCCTTCCACACAACTGTAAAATACCCTTGAACTGTAAAATACCCTTGTGTCTGGATACCAAGCCACATTGGTTATTGCACACCCAGCAGAGCTTTGATGGCCAGAAGCCATGAAGCTCGAAGACTGCTTTACATGTGGCTGTGACTTCAACATTGTTGAATTTGCCTGGTACTAGTTACAGTTACACTGTCCAAAGCTCGCGCTATAGTAGCTGGAAGGCCTGAGATATTCTCCCAAAAGATGGCTGAAAGTGAAAGACCCGAAAGCGGTAACTCTTGGGAGGAGCATAATGATGAGTACCAGCGGGATCCCGATCGGGCTGACAATGGGCCACCACTGGTGAACGAGGCAGTGAAGGAGACAAAGATCGTTTCATAAATACGGCTTGCTAAGTTCAGAGTGAAGGACAGCTGTTTTGAATGTTTTTATGTTATTTTATTCAAAACAAATGTCAGGCTAAGCTGCGCAGCTCAGACGTGTAGGCCTTTGTGCGAAAACACACCCACAAAACCAGGTCCTGCGAGGTCATGACGTTTTTTGTTTCCACGGTGGTGTGCAATTGAAAAGGGGTATCTGCGTGGACCCACCAACGGTACAAACGTGGACAGTTATGAAACCCACAGAATTGGTCCATATTTTTATCGCACTAATACTATTTAGTCAGAAGTCACAGTGCCACTTTACGTGTGTAACTTATTACTCACATGTAGATACCACGTGAGTGTATTGAACTGTATTCGTCATTTTTTCCCCCACCACTCTTGGGGTTGCTCTTTAAATCACCTAAGAAAAAAAGGGTGTCGGCCATGAAACCTGTGAAAGCCATGCCTCAGCAATGTGTGGAAGTATCGGATTTATACTGATCTCACTAAGCTTTCAATACATGTGTGCACTATTATATCTTGTGTTGTAAAAATAATTGAGTTAGTGATGTCAGGGTTTCTTGCAGACTTCTTGTTTGTGCTTGTCTATTTTCAACCTCTATTTTGCCAACAGATAGGAAGTGTTGGCAGAATGAATTGAGAGCTTATCTCCCTGTTTTTTCCCCTGTACTTTGACACCATTGTAATTAGCAGTTAATGTAAACAGTTAGTTCCCCTCCCCACCATACAGGCAGGAGTTTTCAGCATCTGCACACAGCACATTGCCACAGTGAGTGGCACACTGCTATTGTTTATGGTGAAGCTGGCTCCATTGAGGCACTTGAACACAAAACCAGCACCCCGTTGACCCTTGCCCCAAATCTCCCTTTGAATATTGCAAGGAACTTTCTTGATTACCCTAAAATGCCCCACCTCGAAGGCAACCAGTGTTACGCATGTGGGTAATTCCACGGTCAGTCTCATTACGCTTTTCTGTGTCATTTCTTTATCTCTGTGCTGTTACCGGTAGTTTATACACTAATCTAAACTAAGCACCCAA